TGTTTTTTTATTTTTAGAAAGTTATCGTCAGGTTTAGAAAGTGGGAAAGAAGAAAGAAGGTCATCCTACTTATCACGCAGCAAAACCATTTGAATGTTGAATTTCCAAATAGCAGGATTTTCGAAATTTAGTTTCGTTACTTGCAATAAATATTTAAAACCTGTCTGCACCATTATTGATTCTTGTTTAGCGGTTTCAAAAAGTTTATACATACATTATATGCACACTTTTTTTCAATTTTTCGTCGGAATACACCGATTTGTTACGGGATTTACAGTTTTGAATCATCAGTCTCATAGTCAGTGAAGATAAAGAGAACAAACTTTGCTTAGTTCATGGTTCCAGCAGCGCAGGTTAAAGTTACGAAATAAAAATCTTATATTGAGGGATGTTTACATCATGTATCCATTAATAACAGGAATGCATATTTGTACACAAATCGCATTGATTTAATGTTGACTAATATACTTAGCAACGACGTATACATTAAAGAAAATGGGACAGTTCTATATTCACCGTTCTACTGGGCCGATTGACCAAATTCAAATTGCGTTTTTCATTTCTTAAAAACGCGACTTAGGATATATATTAGATTTATATATAGCATTGTTCTTAATATAGGTATTTTGAAACAAAATCAGACTTTTTCTGAAATGACATGGCAATTTTTTTCATTACTTCGATTCTACGACTCAAATTATGACTAAATATTAAACTTTGTAAAACTCGGTGCGAAATTTACGGAGAAATTCAAAAATTTATCTTGGAGCATTTTTTTCAGTTTGTTCCAAGAATATAGTTCACTTGGTGAACTTCTAATTTATAGCAACCTATTTTCCTTTCCCTTTTTTCATTGTAAACGAGCGGGAAAAAAGTCATCGCTCATACTTCCAAATAATTTTAACAAAGCGTGTAAACCACATTCGGCGTTATCGTTTATAACATATATGCCAAATTTCAGAACACGCTAATATTCATGTATATCTTAGAAATTTTTGAACAAAAAATCTAACGTTTTGCAGGTGTGCCTAGAAATACATCTACTTTAAGATGATTTTAAAAATTTTATAGGTTAAAATATAAACACATTTTTGAAAATTTTATGAAAATTATTTAAAAATTAAAATTTTAAGAATAAGTCTGCGAATTATATTTGGATTAAGCCTAAATTTCGAATTCTGAAAGAAGGAAGAAAGTAATTTTGATAAAAAAAGAGTTATTAATAAATATATATCGAATTCAATTAACATTGCGGAGCTAAAATCTTGAGAGCTAATTTTTCGAAAACTACTCGTGCGATTTTTGGCAGTTTGGCATAACTTGAGTCGTAGAATCGAAATATGGAGAAAACTTTTCGTGTCAGATATACATAAATATACATATATAATTTCATTTTTTGTCAAAATACCTCTATCAGAACAATGCTATATATAAATCTAATACGTATCCTAAGTCGCGCTTTCGAGACATGAAAAACGCAAGTTTTCGTCAAACAGCCCAGTAGAACAGGCTATATACGGCTGCCCCCACCTCTTTTTTTTTCGCAGTGTACAAGCACGCAAGAGAGAGTGATAGAAGTTAAGAATAAATAAAAAAAAATTTATCTTTTTGATTGTGGTCAGCACATGCCTTGTCGTTGCTAGTGTTACAGAAGAAGTAAGTCACAAAAGATATTTTCCAAAATGTCTGATTAATTTACATCAATATATATATGCAGGGACTACGCAAGTTATAGATGCCATTCAGTTGTTTCCTGTTTCCGTACAAAAGCACCATAATGGGAAAAGGGAATGATTTATCAAAGTTTGATTGAAAAATTGCGATTGGTGCGAGAGAAGTAAATATGAGAAATCGCAATAACTTTCGTCATTTCTAGATGTCCTAAACTATCGTGGGAGAAAGGTAGTAAGCTTTTGGCAAATAATAACTCATGCCAATATCTTTTAGTTAAAAATATACATAATCGAAGACTGATAAATGGAAAGAACATCAGCATTAGTTACAAGGATCCATTATTTAATACTGCAGGTAAGTTGGTGAAAAGTTATCAAACATGTAACTGAATAGATGATTTTGGGAAAAGCTCTGAAAACGAGATTCTATATATGCGTTCTTACCTTTGGTAAAGATTTTATGCTGTGGGTATGAGTGTGTTTCTCCTTAAACGTGACTGTGGGTGTGATTGTGTTTCTCCACAATGCTGAGCAATGAGGCACCGTTACATGATTCAGGAATACTGGACGTTAAGGCACTGTGAAATGGCTATGGAATATTGTTGTTGCTCTGGAGAATTAACATCTGTCCTTCATAAGACGGACATATTAATTATCATTAATGTTTTCTTGCAACACCTGTAGTATATTGAAAACAGGAAAGTCTGATGATATCATGCTACAGTGACTATTTTGAGATACTGTAGTGTTGCGTTTTTCTTCTGACACCAGTTGTTACGTTATTTTCTTCCTTCACGTTCGTACGGGGTTCGTGAGGATTTTGTGTGAATAATGACAATACTACTTGATGAGGTATCAAAACACACTTTATTGGCCAATATTGTCCGAATAGCTTCAAAACACGTTTTTACAATCGTCGATGAACTACTACAAACACGCTGACACGATCAGCAACATAGCCTCCAGTTATGAGGCTATCATGGTGCAAACAGCTTCACGGCAAAGCACTGGAATACAGCTCCCGACTCTGCTTGGTTGTTCATGGAACTCCACGTACTCTCGAGACTCTCCACGCTACAACTCGCGATGCATTCGACAACACACAGAGTACAGCTTTCGACTTTTCGGTTCAGTCGTTCCCGGAGATCTCGACGATGCACTAACCACGATACACTAAGAGACTCTTTCGGTGCACTCGACGACCCACTCGGCACTCGCTGCCCGGCTGTCAACTCGATCGACTCCGCAGGGGTTGACTCGCCAGACGAGACACCAACTCGATACTAACTAACTATCCGCATACCAGCAGGTTTTATACAGCTTTTGGCTGGTATTCGAGAACATTCTGGGCTTAACTTGTAAGAATTCGTTCCAGAAGGTTCTCCAGCCGTCCATGGCATATCGCCAATTTTGTCGCCAAATGGGAGGATTTCTTACCAAATGTGGCAACCCTGCCTTATCTTGTCGTTTTATGGCAACCCTAAAACTGCTTTGCGGGGAAGCCATGTTACCACGCCTGTACATTTCGTAACAGTATATTAAAAACAGGAAAGACTAATTTCATTTCTTTAAAATGAGCTTTAGTTATTAAATGCTTCCTGAATATAAAATAAGTAGAAAACTTTTGTATCGTGTAATGCATAACCACGAATCAAAACTCGTATTTTAATTACTTCGAATTTCATTGACTTAAATTGTATAAAATATCTCTAACGTCGAATGGAATACATTATTCAAAAGTCCCTTGACTATTTTCATTGACTTTAGAGGATATTCTGGCTTCTTAATCCAAATATTTTTAATTATCTAACGTTGTTAAGTGATAATTATTATCGGCACTCTAAATGGAATCAAATTTGCATTTCGGAATATTTTCGAAAACTGTTTGAAAAATTGGAATAATTTTGAAATTTCTTTTGCAAGACATGTAGTTCTCGTATTTTTTTCCCTGCCATAATATAAGTCGAAATATTTTAAACACATATTCAGTTATTACCTCCAGTCAACCTGTATGTGTGTGTGTGTTTCTGTGAAGTGTGTAACGATTTTGCCGTCCACGATAACTGTTACATTAAGCTTCCAAAAATTTCCATTTTCCGTACTTAAGCTTTCTGCAATCATATAAAGAGCTGATTAGATTTTGGTTTAAAATTGGACAATCAGTGATACTTTGCTTACATCCTGTCACAGTTTTTAATGGACAAGAGAAGGGGGTTATAATACTTGAAACCTATAACATTTTTAATGAAAGTCTATATTAAAATATAATCCAAAACGTCACAAGTTTAGAATTTAAGACATTTATATCAATGGGAACAACATATTAGAGGTTGGTTAGAATTAATGAATAGGAAGTGATACTTTACTCGAATCTCTTAAAAAACTTTCGTTATGAGATAATTCCAAAGGTCTCAGATTTGATATTTAAAACAGGTATGGGATTCAGAACAACATATTGCATTTATAAGCATTAAATATATCATGCTGTAGATTTCAACGCATAATGTGTAACTTTTTGCCGCTCAAACGGTATAATGGTTAGGGAAGCCTGACTGCGATACCGAAGGTCCTGAGTTCGAATTCTAGAGAAGGCATGGTTGTAACTGTCCGTCCTCTTCCCCCCCGGGGGTTGACTCAGGCGAATGCCTGGGAAGTACTGGTTAGGATCTGTACCTAGGCAGTCTCAAACACGGGGTTATATAATTTGACTTCACAGGACTAGAGCCCGAGTATTGTACTCAGGTTGGTTCAGGCTTGGCAGGGACCGTACTGGTACTGTCGTGTCTGTTCCTTCGGCTGTGGTGAAGCTATATAGTACATTTGTCGACTAAGTTCCCGGGGGTTTGACCCCATTCAGTTCTCGTGGCGGGGACTGACAAAGCGGACAGAGCACCTTTTACAATGTGGTTTTGCCGATGGAGTGGTGCCCGGAGGCAAGGTGACACCATATTTTACTAGCAACGTTTAAGTTTTGCCCAATGCTTCGTAAAAGCCGGACGGGGACTGCGGGGGTTGCGCCCGCGAGAACGAGGTCCCACGGGCGTTGGATTTTCAACTCTGGATGGGTCCCGTATAATGAGGACCTGGGACGGAGGTCCCTCGCCTGGTGTGTCTGTCCGTCCCCTTCATAGGAGGTGATGGTGGCCCACCTATTAGGTGCCTCCATAATAAAGAGACCATCATATCTGGCCTTGTATAGATTAATAAACTGGGTTACACTGTAACTGTTCACAATCTGCCATTGGGGAAAAATGGGTAATATTTTTATTAATTTCTAATATGTTGAGGAATATTCATCTTAAATTCTAAAAAAATTTTAATTTTCAGGAACTACAACAAGCGCTCCAAAATCTAGCACACTGCCCTTACCTGGGTCTACGCGGCAGCCCCCTCACCTTGCCGCCAGGGGGGAAAATACCCCCCTCCTCCCGAGGGCGACCATGGAGAGCACAGATTCACGCATTTATCTTACATCATCGGAGGTGAGTTAAATTTTTTAATATGTTTTATTCAATTTGTCTCACTTCATTCAACAATATATATTTAATTGCTGAAGCACGGTATTTATAGCTAAATTTCCATCAGGTAAGCGGAGGATTATTTCCCAAGTAAAATGATATGAAGGAAGCGTTCAATATTAAAATTTAAAATACAGTTAAGCAGCATTAGTGTAAAATATTATGCATATGTTATGATTCAATATATGACTGTACTGAAACATTGCAAAATTAATGGTATGAGACTTAGACAGGCTAAGCCATACAGTGTTATCCAAATTGAAATTCTTATCTTCAGTGTTTCTTCGGAGCACACTACCCACTTTACCCACGTATTTGACACCGATACTCTTCAATTTTAAAAAGAAAATAGTTGGCGGTGGGAATAATAGGCACTTTGATAAAAATAATTTACACACATAAACATATATAGAACCATATCTTCAAAAAACTTGTGCAATTATTTTTAATCTCCCTACTCTTTTCCCTCAACTGCTGTTTGTTCAGCATGTAACTAACGCACTTTATGCTTACTGATATCTTAAAGGTTGGAATGATCATATAGCACAAATGTAGTATGGCTCGATAGTTATGGAAAAAAGTTCTATAACAGTTTCACTTATTCTCGGTAAAGGTATGACATATAAAACTGCTGTCATTAAGCAATTAATTGAAAATGCTTGAAGTTAAACTGTGACAGTAGTTCACAGTTGCAGTGCAATACACAACTTTTAGAGAATTTACCATAAAGCAGTATACTAATAACCCAACATAATTAAATGTTCATAAGGGCGAGACTTATAGATACTTCAGGCCGTAGATAAATCACAGTGATCTTTCCTGATGATAGATAAACGGAAAAAAAATGTCTCGTGGTACATTTTCTAGAGCGATGGCAAGCACTTCTATAAACGTAACAACCAAAACACAGCAAACTTCTCCAATACATTTTCAGCAAAAATCATCATGACTTACAAACACTACCTCTAGAGGTGATAAGTAAGTAAGTATTTGTCTACATACTCCACTAATAAGGTATTACACGGATTATTGAGAACCTAAATTTGGCGGGAGATGGAACTGCCAATCAAAATCTTTGTTTGAGAGGTAACAGAAATTCCCAGCAGCTGGCCGCTTCGGGCCGCACATTTCACAAGTGCACATCTGTATAACCACTAAAGAAGTAGCTTCTATGGTGGACCAATGGGCATCCAGTAATATTTTTGTCATGTCACATGAACTTTCGCGCACTTTAAAAATTTAAGCAAGACGGTTGAATATATTTTACCATTCAATTTTCTGTACAAAATAATTAAAGCATCGTCGATTTCTTCTCAAAATTTTCATTCCTAAGTTAGATCAAATATAAGCAATTGTGAAGATTTCATTATCTGATTGAAATAATTTATAATAATTAAAAACACATGTTTGATACTCCGCAAAAATATCCATGCGAAATATTACTTAATAAGTTGAAGGAAAAAATATGTGATAAACATCTGAGCCCGAATGCTATCTTTACATAAAACTATGCATATGAGAAAAATATTTACACCAATTACATATTTAAATAGAAATCAGCACGTTTTATTGCAATCTATATGAAAAAGATGTTCTATAATAATAGCCAGTGCAGAATATTATTCAAAGTAAACTTTACTAATTTGCATTCGTATACATTTAGTGTGTTAAATTTCACATTTACCAACCGTTTACTCTTAAATGTAATGTCTACACAAGAAATACTCATCAAACAGAATGAATTTATCTTATTCACAGCGAATATATTCAATTTATTCACATATAACTTTTAATGTTAACAATGGATATAATCAGATCATACACGATATGAATTCTGAATCTTACACTTTCAAAATCATAAGAATGGAAGCACTGAAATAATGAAATACTAGATTCATTGTAACGCTTCCAATCCCTTTCAGCTCAATAAAAATAAAACTGTACACTTGAATTTTCTTAATCCACAGGTGTTATTAAATGCATAATATTCGAGGCTAATTGTAGCTTGTGTCATTTTCTCGATGTAAAGAGCGATAATATGCCGTGAACATCAACCCAAATATCACTGCGTGATACAAATTGCGAAAGTTAAATGTCGGCGATTAGTTAAACTCATTAAACAAAAGCAGTATGATATTTTCTGATATTACGCCATACATTTGTAACTGTGAAAAAAATTCAAATTAAACCGTAAACAGCATCGTTCACATGCACAAAGATTTAGCATCACAAGAGCAATAGGAGCTCATTGATCCATTTTCGAAACCCCTCCCTTAGTGGCTACGCTGATGTGCACTTGGGAACTATGCCTTATACTTTCCGAGACGATGGACATAAAAATTCAGTTTAATGCCTTATTGTAAACTAGCCCACCCCCTCCGAGGTCTACCATTCTCAGAGGCACAGAGGCCGCCTATGAAACTGGAGATCTGACTGGTTGCCAAATTACTCTTGCAAGTACTACGCAGGCTTTAGGCCATCTGACATGTGGGCCAACGAGCTACTGAAGTACAAGACCTTGCCTCTCTTCCCTAGGTTACTGCAATTGCCACATTTCTGTCACGTCATTCCTCGGTGCCGAGACTGCCGTAGTCCAGATCTATAACAGTACATTAAACGACCTCGTGGGTTAAATTCAGTTAAATGTATACAGGTGCTAAGAATAACCATATAAAAATGTACCACGATTCCTTGGATCGATGCATTTTCCTTAAAAAAAATTGAATCAATTCTTTGCAAAATAACCGCACCCTTTTCATTGCTACATTTCGAAAAGCTACGTTTTGTCTCTGTCCGTGGATGGCGTGGCATAAGCATTATTCGAGCAGATCACCGCATCCCTCTAATATCTCATATGAAGTGGCGCACCTGCTGGCGCAAAAAAAGTCAGCAAGGACAGGTAAACAGTCGCGCATTGTCATGTAGGTGAACCTTACTTTCATCGGAACGAAATTCCAAGCGACTTTTGATATTAGCGTTATATGAAAGAATGAGCTATGTTGACTCACCTCGGGATTTGAAAGGCAGCAAGTTTTAAAGATGCATAATGCATATTGTAAACAAATAATTTACTGTTGAAAATGTTATCTGGTGATTTCGATATACTTAAATTGTTAAAAAAAAAAAAACAAGTAGCAGTATATACCAGCCATATGTTCTTGAACTATTCTTGGTTTTCAAAATGAAACTTTTAACCTGTTATACTATTTAAAAGTATAGTGGTAATGATACTAGTAGTAACACCTTTCGCTTTGTGTAAAAAATACTTTGTGTCAAAGACGCGCCCACATTTAGAAAAAAATATGATGCCGCTCTAAAAGTGCTAAATATGGATTCTCATTCATCGTTGTGATCTTAGGCGACCTTGACCAGATCTTTTTGATATAGATCCCGTGTCCTGAAACTGTTTCCACAAATTTCAGATGACACTGGAAGTTATATTCAGCTCTGTTGCGATTTGAAGTTATGATTTGCCCGCTTTGAATCTACCGACAACTTACCATCCCATTTCGTCATCGATACCTTTGCGGCTACTCATTTTATCCGAAACCTTATAAAATTTACCCAACGTTTGCGAGACGCAAGAATGTCTTGCTTTGAATATATTGAAGCAGTATGAGCCCGCAATTAGCCCAGAACCCTTCAAACACGTGTACCCTGTCTCCTCCAGAAATAATTTTTTCACGGATATTAAAAGAGATATGCTGTACCACTTATTATGCTGTAGGGATTCTCACTAAGTGCTAAGGAACCTAGTGAACTAAGTGCTGAGGGACCTAGTGAACAGCTAAGCGAATAATCGCATAAGTTCAACAACAGAAAATTAAAGAACAAATTGTTGTGTTCCAAACAGCTCTGCTTTTGCCATCGTATTAAAAATGTATTGTAATTGTGAAAAGTAATGAATATTATTATGCATTGAAAGTTTTAAAGAAATATTAATTCGTTTCTTCCTCCCTTGATTTAAGAAGCAGTTTCAATTCACTCATGAAAAAACTAATCTAAACTTAATTTAAGTTAAAAAAAATCGGATTTTGAGGGAAAAAAAAAAGGATTTTTTTTTTTAAACTTTGTTGCTTGCTGCTGTGAATTTAAAACCGCCTTTGTTTTGGTTTTAAAATCTTCACTAAACATGAACGAACTTATTAGACATAAAATTAACATAATTATTTATTAAATAATATTATTCATTTATTTTAATGAAGTTATTATTATAATAATATTCTTCATTCATTTTAAGAAGATTATTTTCTAGAAAATAACAAGCCTCTTCAAAAAATATAAAACCAGTTGCAAAATCTTTTTATTATTTTACGCTGACATAATATAATGTGCAGTGATTTCTTTCAAAAATTCAGTTAAAGTCTACGAAATACTTTGTGATATTTCATAGCTTTTTCTGAAGAGCCATACCAATATAAATTATTATAAAAATTAATTTATCTTGTTCAGAAAGAAATTCAGATTTTTCAACAAAACTTTTAATTCAGATCTTGAATGATGTTTTATAACCTAGCGTTTCAAAAAAAAAAAAAAAAAAAAAAAAAAAAAAAAGAAAGAAACTCCCCACAATCCAGTGAAGAAGGCATATTTGCTCTCCAGGCTCAGTCCTTATTCTGGCAATCCTGCGTGATGAGATGAGAAAGAAGTTCGTTTCCACAAACCTCACGCTCTATTTTCAGTTTCCGTGTGGTATGGCAGCAGAACTGCAAGAGGGGAGAGAATTTTGATGAGAACGAGACAGGCGATTGACCCGGTGACCTTTACGCGGGACCTGCGCAGGATGCGACGCCGTGGGAGCTCTAATCGATGTCCACGTCCGCTGACACCGATACACAGGAAGAAGGAAAAGAACAGAGAAAAGCCTCGAGATGCGTTCCTTCCTCTCGTGCTTGCCCATTGGCTAATTACGCGTAAGAGATTTGCAGAACATAAGGATTTATTTTTCTTTGTGGGAACAGAAT